CGAAAATATCTAGGTCTTCGACGAGTTTGAAGGCCGACTCTATCGCCTCCTCCGCAAGCTTATCGGACACATCATCCTCCGTCCCTTCAACGAACCCACCATCGATGACTTTCATATCCACCGCTAGATATAGGGATCGGACGACTGACAAGGCATGACCAACGGCAGTGCATGCCGAGCTATGGATCTACACCCTGAAGTTTGCCAAGGCCACTCTGCACCTTTCCATGACCAACGGTGGAAGTGGATTCATGTCTAGATCTCCAACAGGTGGCGGCGGTGGGTCCCCATCAATAAAGTTCAGGACCGGCGTTATCCCCGTGATGATGGTTGTCTTGACTCGGACAGCCCGTAGCTCCAATTCATGATGCTGGTACTGTGTCTGTGAGTTTTCACGGACCACTGCAAAGCACCGACATGGTGTCAAGGCTCACAAAAACAAAGGAAAGAGTTTCCCCAATGCTCACTTACGTGCAAGCTCATCAAAGGTCTTTTTGTGCACTTCTCGCGCATCATCCCTCTCCTTCTCCATAGGTTGGATGGCCTCCTCGGCCAGGAGTAATCGCGTTGTGAGATCTATAGCAACAATAGTGAGTTCGCCATACTGGAAGAACTGAACAACAGATATGTTATCAAGTCCATAGACTTACCATTTTTCTCCTCGGCAACTATGGCAAGCCGAGTACCGGTTTCGGCAAGCTGCTCTTGAGTGGGGACGAGCTCATCTCAAGCTATGTTGCGCTCGATGGTTAGGTCCTTCTTCCCAAGCTGTAGTTGGTACACCTGCATCTACAACCTACTCTGCTCCTCTTTGAGTCTGATTATGTCGTCCTCAAGCGCCCTCACCTCCGCGCACAGCCGCTTATTCTCCTTAAAGGTGGGCTCGACTTCCTCGAGCTGTCATCATCGGTGCTCGACAATTTTTATTATGTCTTGCCAAAAAACTGTCACAACACCACAAGGAGGGTATGCAAACATCAACGACAATTTAACTCACCAGCAGTTCACCACTCACCACTGAAAGATGGTTCATTAGTGATTCTATCTATGGATCAACGTCCTCCTCCTTCACTAAATCAACACGGTCGCCCTGATGCAACCAACTGCGCGACACACGTGCGGGGGCGTCCCACGGATGGGGTGGCTCTCGTGGGATGTCCTCAACCTCAATTGCATCTGCCGTGGGTCTCATAGCTTGCTTCGTAGCTCTCTCTTGGTGGTGGCACGGCGCGCCTAGAGCCATCTCCACGGGGGGCTCTGGAGCATGCGGCTCATGCTCGGCTCTAGGGCCTGCACCCATCGTCGACGACAAAGCTCAGGGACTAGGTGCTCGTCCTATGCCTGCCCCCAGTTACACCGACGGTGGGGATGCTAGGGGGCTCGGCACCTATCCCGCATCCTCTCTAGCTCCACCGACCTCTACAATGGGTTGTGCCACTTGCTGACTCTCAGCACCATCGCCTGCGTGAGCTCCGTCTGCCCTAGACACCACAGCCACCCCACCTCCGATTGTACCTTCGACATTCATGGAGGCGGCAGGGGGCGTCGCGCGATGAGATCCTTCTCCAGCATTGACCGACCGTAGAAGGTCGGTCGATGGCTTGCTGCTCCACAAATAGTAACTTATCAAACCTCCAAGGCTGAAGTCATGTGCCAAAAGGATTACAACATCCAATTACTTGCTTGTTAGATCGCCTTATGGTGCGCTTGATTTTGTGCACTCTGCTAGGTCTGCCCATCTCGGTGGTTGGCATTGCTTCCTTCCAGCGACCAGGGAGCACAGGGCCTACCGCCATAGTCGTTGTGCCGGTGGACGTGTTTTCTTCGACCTCAGCCTCGTGTTCGGGCTAGGGACTTCAACGCCAACCTGGTCGACAGGGCCCTCGCCTCACCGATTAGGGATTCCTATGTGTTCAGCGTTCCTCGCCGAGCTGGTACCTCCAGTGCATGTAGGAGGGGGCTAGCGACTGCTCGCCGCGCCGCCCTCACTAGCAGTGGCACCCTATCTTCTGGGTCGTCATCCTCGCTCTTTGCCCTGCCGATGTACTTTTGATGCTAGACGGGTGGGGAGTCCCTAATGCTAATCCCGCCATCCACAGCGTGGTGGTGTCGTCGCCTTCCTCTTCTTCGCCGCTGGTGCCTCACGGAGCGGCTGCTTGCCACTCCGCAAGTTGTGATGGCCAAGACTCGAGGTGGTCTCCCATTCATCCAATGAGCTAGTCGGTGTCATTCGGGTCATTGCTGCCATGATATATGCAGAATTTCGTGGCCCCTTGTACCTGCTTTCCGCCGTCGGCCAGGAACCGTCTAGCACTTCGGAGACATACACCCTTCGATCCTGTGTGGCAAATCAACAAATAGTTGGTATGCATAAAGGAATTAATGGGGCATTTTGTAACATTAGCCAAAACCAGTTACCTCTGGGGGTGGAAACATCAGGTCGAACGCCCGCTGGGGATGCCCATTCTCCTTAGTGTTCTTTAAAGTAAAGAACTTCGACACTTGATGGTCGATTTCTTCGTTGTTCAGTGGCTCTGGCGCTTCTCGCACAAAGTCCGCATCCCGGTACTCATACGCGGGATGGGACCTTTCCTTGCACGGCTGGATTCTTCGGTCGATGAAGTTTTGAGCGCACTCAACTCCATTAATATTGACATGGGCCAGGAGGGCAAGTAGTTCCTCCACATGACGCATCTCCTCACTACTTGGTCTGGCCGACCAGTTGGGATTGGGGGTTGCTAGGCTATCAATGTCTGTAGACAGGCCATCTTTCTACATTTTCGGTGTAAAACCACCGTGCCTTCCATCCTTTTTTGGAGGTACTGAGAGACATAGGTTTGTACTCAGATGCCTTCCCATCCCGCAGTACCAGATAGGTTGCACCGATCACATCGGTGCCAGCAAACGACTTGAGGTGGAAGAAGTAACGAAAAAGATTGAAATGCGGCTCTATTCCAAGATAAGCTTCTCAAAGATTGATAAAGATGGCAAGATGTAGAATGCTATTCGAGTTAAGATGAACAAGTGAAATCTCGTAGTACGGGAGCAGCTTGCGCAGGAATGGATGCGCTAGAAGCCGAAATCCCCGGCGATAAAAATCCTCGAACACTACTAGCTCTCCGTAGTGAGGATTCGGGAAGTGCTCACCTTGAGCAGGATGCCACCTAGCCATCGCCTCATCTGGCAGGATCCCATCCATCACCATCTCCTCAAGGTTCTCTCGGCTACTGCTTGATGCCACCCACTCCTTGCTGCGCGCATTGGCCTTCCATGAGTTCTTCCATGGCGCCATGGATCTAGATCTGGGGACTCGCCGCACTCGCTTTGATCTTGCAATAGGAATGGATTCTTCGGCTAGGGCTCTGGTGGTAGAGCAAGGAGAAGAAACGGCGGCGGCGGATTCACAGTGGGTGCATGAGGAAGAAGATGAAAGCCGAGTATGCAACCGCTTGTGTGAAATGGGATGCGTCGTGGGCGGAATAGGCTATATAACGGTTCCCCCTGCCCCTTCATCTCCATGGTTTTTGGGAAACCATGCCACGCCACGTGCGCTTGTTACCACATTCGTTGTGCCACGTGCACACGTTCGACTGCAATCAATGCGTGTCACTCTGGCTTCTTCGTGCTCTCCGGTCAATGGGCCGCTTCACGGTCGTTGTTTTCTTTCAACAGGAAGCTATCCACAAGCGGCCCGGCTTTCTCACCATGCTGCATTAGTGACTCCATGATTATCTTATGACTCACAAAGGCTATATGCTTCGATTACATTTTCTCCTCTTCGGGGTGGCATTACTTCTATGCTTTTCTTTGACCCTGCTACAAGATTTATACTTCATCTTCTAGCATGCTCTGGGACTAAGTGTGTACACTTCATCTTACGGTGAATGTACTGACTCCATGCTGAGTCAATCCGTTGTTCTGCTGGGCACTGTATGCTTTCTTAGCCACGCTGGGGACTGCTCATTTCTGTCTTCTAGACCCTGACACTAGGTGTACCTACACCTAATCTCAGGCTCGGGGACTACGTTGTGTATAATGCACCTTGTGGTGCATGAGCTGTTTCTTTATGATGCCTTGGCTATGCCAAGTCTGTCACTTAATGCCTCTATTTTGCTTTAGTGATCATGTCATCAGTGCAATTGCAACTGCCACTTAAGTGTATACACTTCACCGATCAAGAATTCTCAAATTTTTCTGTTGAGCTCCTTACATCCTATTTGTGAGCCTCACTCGGCTAAGTTCGAGGTTTGCTGGTTAGCTAAATTGCTCGGCAGCTGTCCTCATAGGTCAGCACGTCAATTAAACTGATCGACAAGTGATTTCACCGTCTAGGCCACTAGTCAAGATGGTTGGCCTTCATCTTCACCGCCCATGCCATCAGTTAAATTGGTCGGCTATCATTTTTGCCGCTCGGATCATTAGTCAAGCTGATCGGCTTTATGACAAACTGCTCGGACTTAATCAAGACGGCGTCGCCAAACGGATATAAGGCGCTCGGAGACTAGCTGTGGGGGTATAAACCCTGGTACCCACAGCAACGGACATGGGCCGCACCATCAGGGGAGGTCCAGCCCACAAGATTCAAGACTTACGACACACAACACTGGTCGGCGTACACCGCAAGACTTCCAGAAGATATCTTGAAGATAGAGATAGATCCGATCAGATATTGTAATCCAAATAGAACACTTATCATGTAACCGATTAGGATACTTTCCTTGTAACCCTACCCCTCCAGAGTATATAAGAAGGGGCAGGGGTTCCCTAGTAGGCATGGGCATCCCAATCCCACATCTCATCTCGTATTCCAGCAATACAAACCAACAGAGCACAGGACGTAGGGTTTTACGTCACATTGACGGCCTGAACCTGTATAAATCTTGTGTCTTGTGTCTCTGTTACCATCTTGTTCCTAATAACGCACACCTCTACCAAATAATCTACCATTATGAGCATACCTCTCGGTAGAGTACCGATCATCTTTTGTCGACAAAGCCACCATGTCTGTGTCGCCAGAGTTCTTCAAGCCCAACATGCCGGCCTTCTCGCCGGCCTGTGCCGCGCAGCCGCCGCTCGTGTTTGGCGCTGGCGCCAGCGGGGACGACGATGACTACTGCACGACGCCAACAGGCTGCAGGATCTCCTACCTGAGGGAGCCCACCACGTGCCCAGCGGCGCCCAAGAATCAGTCGCCGCCGCCGCCGTGCTGTAGGAAGCGCCTCTTCCAGCCCCAGCCTCATGGGATCAGCACTGTTAGCCTTTAATAATGTACGCATTATTAACGGCTAGGGGTCGTTAGTCATTAGTCGTTAGTTGTTACATGTACGATGTCGTGCGAGTCAGAATCGGAGAGCGTGGCACCAACTACTTACTACCAAACGTTTGTATGGATGGATGGAGTGTCAATGTTCATGAGGTGAAGTTTGCTAGAAGTTCGTGTATAGTAAGCGTCTAAGCGATGTGATAAAAAAATTCTCCACAAGCTCTAGCATTGTCATCAGTTACCTTCGCATGCTTATCTCTGCTCGAACAAAACTAGTTTCTACGAATGATTACTGAGCCCCCGAATGAGACCCAAGAGTTTATACGATCCAATCATGCTGGGATACGGCCCGTATTTGGTCACTTTCGCAATAAGATTTGGAAAGGGACCCCAAACTATGATGATGGGCTGAGTCAAGCATGATTGAGAGAGAACACAGATTATGCCATCCACAAGCCTGTACTGTAGTAGGGGCACTAGGCTGCCGCGAGCACCATGATGAACAGCAACACATGGCACTACGGCCTAACTCGATCGATCGTGCTCTCTTCCATGGACGGATGGGGTTTAGATGGAGAGCTATGCAAAGGGATGATCCGTCAACGCGCTGTATAAGAGCATAAAGAATCTTGGGCACCCAAAAATCTTGTAAGCACACAAACACGCGTGCTCCGTTGGTCCTAGTGCGGTAATAGTAATAGCCTTTGCTCTGAAAGGGCGCCGGAAGGGAAGCATGCCGAGGGTAGGACGTAGGAATGACGACTCTTCCCAGACGAGACGCATGTGGATGGTAGACGCTCCTAGTTCGTGTTAGGATCCTATGGGTTATTATGGGCTAATCTAGCTATTGGATTGGAGGGGCAAATGGACTCCAGCACTAAACTCATCTTGGCCCATGAAAGAAGCCATACGAGATGCAGCGTGACACATATATAGAAGGGAGCCTAGCAGATGAACTGTTGGAGGACCAGCCCGAACCGGCGGCGGCGGCGAGCGCGAGCTCGAGGCTGAGTCTGCGGATCTACATTTTTTCCTCCCTTCTTCCTCCTCCCAACTACTAGTTCATGTACCCAGAACAATCTAGTGTGTTCTAGAGAGTCGATTTGTGTTACTGTATTTGAATTGCGAGTTGGATTCGATTGATGTCGATGACAACTAGTATCAGATCCATATCCCGTTTACCCATCACTGTGCCGGAGTTTGTGACCACCAAGACGACGGAGGAGAAATTGGCCGAGATTCTACCAAAGCTGGAGGAGATGAAGGCTCAGTGGGGCAGCCCCACTAAGCAACCGATGCCTTCATCACCTCCCTCGAGCTCCATCCTCACTGCTGACACCGAGGAACGAGTTCGTCGTTAAAATGACACCCTATCTTTCCTGTTTATCGTTACCCTTCCTTTGGATTGGGTCGTTAAACTTGACACCCAGTTCTTTCAGTTTCTTCCCGAGAATTGATTTGTTTGATATTAGTTAGGCCTTGTTTAACAGGGTTACAAATCCTTCTAACCTCTCTTTGCTAATGTCTGTACTTTGTATGGTGAAACACATCACTTTTGTGGAATCTTCTGTTTATTTATAATTTTTAATAGTGTATATGAAAGGGAGAGCGGGGCTTTCTGGTGAGAAATAGCATTTTGGATGATTTCCACCACTGCGTGCCCCGGCGTTAGGCTATCTCGTCACCGTGCCGGACTTCATGACCACCACGACGGACGAGATGTTGGCCGAGATTCTAGCAAAGCTGGAGGAGATGAACACTGGGCAGCCCCGCTAAGCAACTGACGCCTTCGTCACCTCCCTCGAGCTCCATCCTCACTGCCAACACCGAGGAACGAGTTCGTTGTTAAAATGACACCCTATCTTTCTTGTTGAGTGCATCTAGGCTCCTAGTTAGATTTTTGTGATTAATGACAACACTAGATTACTGTGACTAACGTGTATTTTGCAGAGACAACTTGAGTTAGGTCGTGGTAATGATAATTGTTTGGGCAATTATGTTTTCCATGCCCCTATCGATGGAAATCGTTTTGGCCTTCAAAGGATGGACGGCAAGGTTAAGGACTGACGAGTTCTAAGTATCATTTGACGTTCTAGAGACACTTAGAGTAGTTTAGGACTTTACTTTTTATTTGGCCGTACTATTAAGGGGGGTATGAACTAGTAGCTTGACCTAGGTGAGTCTAATGGGTTAGGTGTGGTGCACACTTGTTAAACTTAGCACTAGATAGCTCAGGAATAGCCCAAAGATCAATTGGTTTCAACCTCCTTCACAAAGGATTTTGAATTAAAAGTGAATGGAGGGTCAAATGTTGACCGGACGCTGTTTTAGTGATGACCGGACTCACAGGTGTTGCGTCCGATCAGTGATCAGTGCACACAGCAGAAGCCGAGGAGCGACCGGACGCTGCACAGTGATTGGAACCGGACACGCCTCTAGTCGTATCTATAGCAGCAGGGCCTCAGTGTCAGGGAGGACTGGACGCTAAACAGTAAACGACCGGACGCTGAGTTTGCAGTGTCAGGTCAACATCAAAGAGGGTCCAGAGACCAAAAGTCCTGACCGGATGCGTTCGGTGGATGTTGACCGGACGCAGGCCAGCATTAGGTCACTCTAATAGCCTTTCGTGATAGGCTGACGCCACGTAGCCGTTGGCTACTGACTGGACGCGTTCGGTCACTTCGACCGGTGCGTCCGATCACCCCGAAAACTGTTGAGTTGGACAATAACGATTATGTTTTTAAACTGGAGAGTATATATACTTCTCATACTCGTCCAACTTAGCTCTCTTACCCATTTGTTCAGCTAAGGAACACTTTTGGAGTGCAAGGGAGAGTAAGATCCTAGTGGGGTGATTGAGATTTGATAATCCAAGATTAAGGACCTTATTAGTGCATAGGGAGTAGTTAGTGTCCATCCACCTTTCTTATTAGGCTTGTCTTGGTCAAGTGAGAGTTTGTGCTTGTTACTCTTGGTGATCACCATCATCTAGATGGATCGGTGGTGATTGAAAGCTTGGTGATCATCCGGCGGAGCTTGTGGATGAACCAAGTCATAGTGTGAGCGGTTGTGGGCGATTCACCGCGACAGAGTATCAAAGAATCAGCCCGTAGAGACCACTTGATCCTTGCGTGGATCAAGAGGGAGATACACCCTTGCGCGGGTGCTCCAACGAGGACTAGTGGGGAGTGGCGACTCTTTGATACCTCAGAAAAACATCGCCGCATTCCTCTCATTCTCTTTACTTTGAGCCTTTACATTTGAGCAATTCAATTCATGTCTTTACATTCTTAGAATTTCCATGCTAGAATAGGATTAGAACCTAGAGTGCAAAACTTTTGTGCGATAGAACAATAGAAACACTTTTAGGCACAAGAGAATGAAATGGGCTAAGTGTAGGGTTTAATTATTGAAAGAAATTTAGAATTTGCCCAATTCACCCCCACTCTTGGGCATCTTGATCCTTTCAATTGGTATCGGAGCCTCGTGCTTCTTAAATTAGGCTTAAACACCTAAAGCAAGATGTCCCACGGGGATGGATCCCCTCCTGTCTTTGAAGGAGATGATTTTCCTTATTGGAAAATTCGCATGGAGGCGTACCTAGAGGCTATAGATGTTGGAGTGCTTAGAGCCGCCTCACAAGGCTTCCCAAAACCTAATGATCCCGCCAACCTTCAAGGTGATGAGGCTCACTATGAAAAGTGGAATGCAAAGGCTATAAACACCCTTTTTAGAGGCATTTGCAAGGATGCCTTTAACCGTGTGCAGAACCACAAAGACACCCATTCACTATGGTCGGACATTTGTACGCTCCATAAGAGAACCAAGAGTGAGCGTGAGGAACACTATCACCTTGTGATGAAGAAGCTTAACTCATTTGAAATGCTTCCTAGTGAAAGTGCTACTGAAATGTATTCACGCTTGAATGTTCTTGTAGAGGAGGTCACTAGGCTTGGACTCACTCAAATGCAACCATTCGATGTTATGAGAAAGATCTTGAGTGTCATCCCCATTGACAAGTATGGGCATATTATGACGGTGCTTCATCAAGATGATCTTTCCACCGCTACACCAACTCAAATATAGGGAAAGATCAATGCATATGAGATGTACATGCACACCACTCCACAAGATGGCTCTTCTTCCACCAAGAAAAAGATTTGGCATTCAAGGCTAGCCAAGAGAAGAGGGGTAAAGCAAAAGTTGATCATGATAGCTCAAGTGATGATGAGATTAATGATGCCAGCCTTGCTCTCATGGTGAGAAGAACCACCAAGATGCCCAAGAAACTAAACAAGAATGGTATCAAGTTTGATGGCAAGAAGAAGAAATTATTCACTAGTAGTAGAAGGAAGCCCATCTCCGAAATGGATTGCTATAATTGTGGAGATCTTGGTCATCTAGCTCATTAATGCTCCAAACCCAAAAAAGAGAAGTACAAGAAGAAGTACAACGGCAAGAAAGATGACTCAAGTGGTGATGATGATGAGAAGAAGAACAAGACATACAAGAAGGATGGCAAGAAAAAGGAATTTCACAAGAAGAAGAACGACAAGGCCTATATTGTTGGTGATTGGATGACGAACATCGAATCATCAAGTGGCTCATCTGATGATGAAAGTGAAAATGAGAAGGAGAAGGTGGCCGCCCTTGTGATCAGTTCCACACTATCTCCACCGACACCGTCATCATCATCCTCTATACATCTATGCCTTATGGCCAAGGGTGAACAAAAGGTACAAAATGATGATGACAGTAGTGGTGATGACAATGCTAGTGATCATGAGAATGGTAGTGATAGTGATGAAGAATTTGAGTCACCTTCTTATGATGATCTTGTCAAATTGCTAAACCAATACACTAAAATCATTAGAAATACAAGAGCAAAAAATAAAAAGATAGAACTTGTGAATGACTCACTATTAGCAAAGTATGACATAGCCGAAAAAGCTAGTGATGAGCTTAGAGAAGAAAATAAAATTGTGTCATCCAAACTCAAGG